GGCGGGCCGGCGGGGTGGGGGGCGGGGGGCGGGGGGCGGGGGCGGCAGCGACGAGACCCGAGTCCCGAGCGCCCCCTGACCGGGCAGCGGGACCCATCCGCCCTCGGTGCGGGTTCCGTGGCCGCCGCCCCCACCCGCCTCGCCGTCTCGCCCGCTTTGTTCCCCCGCACGCCCTCTGGTCGCCTCCATCCCCCACACGCCCCCGCACCCCGCTGTTCCTGGCGTGCCCTCCTGGCAGGCGCCCCGACAGCCGATCCAGGCCTGCTGCCCCCCACCTTGGGAGCGAGGGACAGTCCGGCCTGCTTTTGGACAAGGGTCAGGGCTCTCGCTGCTCACAGATGGCCTGGGGATTTCCTGGGATAGAAATAGCCGCCGGCTCTGGCCCCTTAAAGCTGCTTAAGGGGAGGGTGGCGAAGGGGAGGGTCCGGGCACACCTCCACACCTCCCTGACCGCGCCCCCAGCCCCGACCCGGCCTGAGCTCTGACCTGGGAGACGCCGCCGCGGTCACAGACCTCCCCCATTTGCTCCTAAGAAACAACCAAAACCAAAAATCGCGGAGCTGGCGAAGTCATCCTCTCGTCTGTCCCCTCCTCCACTTTTGGGGTCGTCTTAGAACGGCCTCTTCCAAAGCCCCACGCCCTGCCAACGACTCCTCCATGGCTTTGTGGTCCTTCTGCTCGCGGGTTGCCAATGGCCCTGGGGGCAAAAGTCATGAATGCCCCCCTTTGTGTCCTGGTTCCCTGCAGCAGGTGGGGCGGGGCAGCAGTGGCTGCTTCCCGGGACTTGTCACTGCGGGGCTGACTTCTCTCTCTCTCTCCTCTAGGGGGAGACCACAGAATCCGAGGCCATGCCCCACGAAAAGAGTTTCTTGGTGTCTGGGGACAGCTATCCTCCCCCAAACCCTGGATATCCTGGGGGACCCCAGCCCTCCATGCCTCCCTACCCTGGAGCCCCTTACCCACAAGCCCCCTTTCAGCCTTCTCCATATGGCCAGCCAGGTTACCCCCAGGGCCCCAGCTCCTACCCCCAAGGGGGCTACCCGCAGGGCCCCTACCCCCAAGGGGGCTACCCCCAGGGCCCCTACCCTCAAGGGGGCTACCCTCAGGGGCCATATCCACAGAGCCCCTTTCCCCCCAACCCCTATGGACAACCACAGGCCTTCCCAGTACCGGACCCTGGCTGTGAGTACGAGGGGAGAAGCTTTGGGGGGAGGGGCAGGGGCTCCAGGTGCCCCCTTGAGCTGCTGACCCAGCCCACCCTGCTCCTCAGCACCTCAGCATGGAAACTACCATGAAGAGGGCCCCCCGTCCTACTACGACAACCAGGACTTCCCCGCCACCAACTGGGATGACAAGAGCATCCGCCAGGCCTTCATCCGGAAGGTGGGCAAAGGAGGCTCGGGGTGGGGGAGGGGGGAGACGAGGAGGCCCTGCGGGGCAGGGCTCTGAGCTGGCTCCCACCCTAGGTGTTCCTGGTGCTGACCCTGCAGCTGTCTGTGACGCTGTCCACTGTGGCTGTGTTCACCTTTGTCGGGAAGGTGAAGGGCTTCGTCCGGGAGAACGTGTGGACCTACTATGTGTCCTATGCCGTCTTCTTCGTCTCCCTCATCGTCCTCAGCTGCTGTGGAGATTTCCGGCGCAAGCATCCCTGGAACCTCATTGCCCTGGTAACCCCAGCCTCCAGCCTGCCCCCTCCCCCAGCGTCCTCACCTGCTGCCCCCACTCTTTGCAGCCACAGGAGGGTGGGGATGGGGCGGGGCAGGGGTGGGGAGCCGCTGCCCCCACATGAGGCTCTGTGTCCCCACAGTCGATCCTGACCGTCAGCCTGTCCTACATGGTGGGCATGATCGCCAGCTTCTACAACACCGAGGCGGTCATCATGGCCGTGGGCATCACGACGACCGTCTGCTTCACGGTGGTCATCT